GTCCAAAACATAGCCCCATACCAGGTACTATGAAGATAATTAACTCTATCCCAGCCAAAACCAGCACACCATTTGAAGTGGAAGAGAATGAATGGTTTTGCCCTTGATGTAGCTTCAGCATAGGGTTTGGGTTTTTTTTACTGTGTATCTGTGTGTGTTCGTACTCACGAGCTGATCCAATTTAGAACTTGAGATGTCCAACCGACATAAGAAACTTCACAGTGTAAATTAAGTTAGTTTCTTTTATCAGGTAGGTTAGCTATATACCGAAATAATTCTTAGTATTTTGCTATGAAAGAATTAGTCTGGATTAAGATGGGTGTGCAAATAATCAGGGTGCTAAACATTTCTAGACTTGAGGTCTGTTTGCCCTCTTGGTAGTTATCTAACTCCTAGTAGGGTAAATGCATACTCATGAGTGGTGTGTATCGAATAGCTAATGCACTGTAAATTCACCCCTACTTTTCTTATGGTAACTTATTTATATAGAAGTATCGTGAATTACAGTTATGGCATAAATTGATAACGTCGCCAAAACGTGAATCTTCTGACCTAGCAAGGAGTAAGTCTTCTGTCCAGCCCTTGATTCCTAATGCAAACATGTTATCTGTTAGAGGGGAACTGGAGTCAGCGAGAAGGCACAAATCAGCCCTGCCTGACCTATCAGTTACTGTGCTAGTGAAAGCAGACAGCAATATACACTGACAGAGCTCCGAAGCATTTGAAAAGTTGTGGAGCAGAAGCCCTAAGACAGAGCTCCATGAGATGGAAGAGCAAGAAGCAGTTGAGCTAAGATATGTTTGTGGTTTTCGCAGGGGTGGTTGCTGTTTGGCTTTACCACTTTTATATTGTCCACTGTTCTTTGCCGATGGTGATAGCCTAGCAGTTTATTAAGCCCCTTTTCAGAGGCAGTGGGGAGCAAGCATGCCTTATTCTTTGGTTTTAGCTGCTGTGAAGTATACAGACATGTTTGTTCCTCATTCTGTCTTGCTGGCTGTCTCTGAAATGTGGCGTTTTCATGTTGGATATGGTGGTTCTGCAAGAATTTATATTTGCAACAAAGTTTAGCAAGACAGAATTGTGACTACTAGGCAAATCATTTGGAGTTCAGTTTGGTTTCTAGGAACAGAGGCTTACTAGTTATTTTTCACTGGTTTCTGTGCTATTATGTTGTTGTGATAATCTTGGCAGGGATCTGTCACTCTGTGTTGGTATAATTGAAACTTGTTTTCCCTGAGGAATCACTCTGCTGTTTGTTTTATTTGTTTACTGACATTGACAGAGATCCTAATGGCTTTTAAAACCCAATTTGTGCATCACTGAATATCCTCCAAAGAGGAAAATAAAATTAAATTTATCAGTAAAATAGGGTCCCCCATGCAGTGCTTTGTCTGGGTCTTAGACTCCACCTGAGCATCTAGCTGTGGGTCTAGAAATGGCGTGGTGAGCTGTATCTTCTCTTTATTTCTAATTCTGTCTTCGGGGCTTTTGTCATTAAGGTACTTGAAAGGATAAATGACAGTAAGTTATTTGGGGCGTCAGTATAAGTTGGCCGACTTTGCCTTGTGAGAAATAAATTATCTTTAGCTTTTATTAATAAAAGGAGGTTAAGATAACAAAACAATAACCACAGAAGAATTCGCCTCTTGGGAGGGAATACATGACGGTATCACTTATTATTGTCATAAATCAGAGTAAGTAAGTGTTTAGATTTTTAAAATATATGATATCAAAGTATTTATGCATTTATTTTGTTTTAAGCCTTTGAAGAATTTCAGTGAGATCATTTGGACTACTCATGTTCATAATGCCTTGCTGAATTGTGGTTATGGATAGAGGTATGGCTTGTTGCATGCCATGCTCCAGAGGAGCATGCACACAAATAAATGGTGAGGCACAGGACAGACATCCAGGAATGTGAGAAGGAAGGGTGGGTTTCTTTAAGGACTAAAGAATGCAGGATAATTATTTTAACACTTATTTTAAAGCTGTGGATTTGCATTTGATGAAGATTCGGATTTTTTTTTATTTTATTAAAGTGACTTAGACCATCTCTAATTACCTTTTGACACACTTCCTTGTCATTCAAGCATATAGGGATTGCCCAGGTTTTAGTAAACTCTGTGAACATCATGAGGAGATAAGTTTGGAAAAACCCTGCTGATTTTAAAGGTTATCTGTCAGTTTGTATATATACAGCTATGAGCCAAACCAATCTGACCTCAAACCAGAGCTGTCGTATAACAACACTCTGTCTTTCTTATTGTATATCCCTTTTGCAAATCTCCCTGACTTTGATAGCACTATAATAATAATAGATCTGCAATATTTATGTTGCCTTTTCTAAGAAAGTGTTCTAATGTGCCTTGGAAAGGTGGGTAATTAGTCTTATCTCCTTTTTTACAGAAGGGAAATTAGAGGTACAGAGAGAGAGCCCAGATCATCTGACTCCCACCTCCTTGTTCTCATTGCTTGGTTCAGTAGTGCAAATCTTCACAATATGCACTTTCAGTCTGATCTATATGTTGTATTGCATTGCAGTGCCCAGAACAAGGATTTTGGCTACTGGTGGCGCATCCCACAATAAAAAGATCTTACAGGTAAGTAGAAAATTAAATCCTTTGAACTGAACTTGCAGTTACATCTTCATTTTTATTTTGATTTGCTGAATCAAAATCACTGCAGCTGCACAGGAAGGTGTGGATATGGGATTGTGAATCTGCTGCAGGTCTTTGGGGCTTTTCTTCAGGTTTAGTGTGGAAACAGCCCAATGCTAATTTTGTATTGAACTTTAAAGGGTTTTTTTACACTTGACTAGTTTTATGAATGTGTATCTGAAGACTGGTGATTTTGAGGTCTCATCACTTACATCAAATCAATCAGCAAAGAAATCAAGAAGAGACTTGATACAATACCTGAGATTTTTGTAGTTCTTGTCATTCAGATCAAAGTTGGACCATGGATTTAAACTGGAGGGGGATTACGCTGGTGCTGAACACTCAAAAAACCCCCACCGCAAACAAACAAAAACCCCCATACAAACCCCCAAACCCTACCTTTGTTGTTCTGAGTATCTGTTTCTTATTATATATTGTGTCATATACTGGGGGGAGGCTATGCTTCTGTATAGTCCGTCCTCCCTCTTCCCACCTTCCTCTTCTGCTGCTGTTGCTGCGCATCCAGCCTGGTTAAGATCCTTCATCCATCTTCTGGAGAAGAGAGTACTGTGTGCTCTCTGTTTCTGCCCATTGAGATTTGGCAAAGCCTTGCTCACAAACGGCGAGAGGCCTCTCACCTGGCTTTTGCTAGCACAGAACTAGACATCTGGATTGGGATTCATCTTGCCCGAATCCAGTCATCTGCGATGTGATGTCTGTGTACGATCTGTCAATCCTGTAATAGTCAGGGGAGATCCAGTCAGTTACAATGCAAAGGAAACAGGATGGTGTTTTAACTTATCAAACGTGGATGTTTCCCTACGGGTTAGCCAGAGCTTTCTGTACTCCACTGACTGTCTTGACAAGCTCCCCTTTGACTAGAGGCTCCGACACCGAGCCTGGAGGTAGACATTTACACCAAAAGGCACCTGTCTTAATCTTGGGCTAAGTCCTGGCACTGAAGTTAGTCACGCAGGGTGAATTCTTTTCTGGAGATGCCAATCCCTCTCCATCAGCTAGAGAGAGTTTAGAGGCCAGCCTCAACTACGCACCATACTCTTTGACAATTGCAATCATGAAAGGAAGCTTGTCTGCTCTGCAAAACGTGAGCTGGAATAAATGGAGGTTGAAGAGCAAAGAGCAAAAAGCTCTGTCTCCTAAGGCATCTAAAATACACATTTGTATAACCATTGGTTGTACAGCTGATTGGGACACAACAAATTTGGCATGTTTTGCCTGTAGATGTCACTTCTCTTCATATGCTTTGGTTATTTTGCTTAGGAACTTGACATTGGAAAATTAACTGATGGCTTAATTGCTTAAAACATTGGTCCTTACTGGAGTAATTCTACTAAGAATATGTCAGGAAAGAGATTGGATTAATAAATGAGTTTGTTTTTAAAGCTGTATTTCCAATTGAGGTGCCCGGAGGATTTCCTTGCTGTGGAATGAAGGCAGAGAACTGAATGTTCTTATGTAATTCTGCAACATACATGGCTGAAAAATTGTGGGGATGGGAGAGTGGTGGCTGTGGTGCTTGCTCTTCATGTATAACAACACAGCTGCTTTTAAAACTCGTTAGAAGTGTCTTAAAATAATATGATCAATACAGTGTCATCTACTTAATTCAATTGCTGGTTAATTGGATCCTCCTTTTTAATTTAATCAAAACCTCAGAAACCATATCAGTTCCATGAAGAATAACAGCTTCCACCCTTATCATGGTCAATTTTGGATAATTTGTTCTAGGGCTACAAAAGACTATCATTTAATTAATCAACATTCAGTAACTCCTATATTTTACACTGCAAAGGAGGCAACTTAGGAAAATCTGTTAAAAAAATATAGTAGGGCAGCTTTCTCCACGGTTCTGGGAAGCTTTTTATAACATACGTGGTGCTTGATTAATGACCACATGAAACGCAGTGAAATATTTTTAACAGTAAAACCTGTAACAGTTTCTTTTAAAATTATTCATGAGCGAGACCACAGTTTCGAATGACTTACTAAATATATGAACTTTGAATAATTTTAATTTTATAATCATGTGGCACAAAAGGTAGTTATTATTTGTAGTATTACAGCACTTACTAGCATTCAGTATAAAGTAGAGCTGCATTATATAAGGCTCTGCAGAGATGAAAAAAAAAAAAAAAAGACCTCTGTTGTCCCAAGGAATGTACAATTCAAGCTTAAGACAAGAAATACCTATTACAGATGAGATGAAGAAGCAGATGGGGAATGTGCTGAAACAATATGGTATTATTGGCTGGCAGGATGGGCAGTGGAACCAACACTCTGTGACCTTATCATTTCCAGAGGGCTTTTTAATAGATACTATGATTAATTTTCCATTTGTCCTCTAGCATTGAAGCTCGTGTATTGCTCAGTGCTTGCTTGCAAGCGAAGTTAGGCAATACTGACTTGGCAATCTTACCAGAAGAGTGTGTTTTAAGTGTATAACCTCAGGCTTTCATTGGATTCTAGTTAGCAACCAGGCGCTTTTGTTTAAAATTACAAAAACTGGTGATTTTCAAAGGTTTTGATTTGCAGATTCCCCACAAACTTTCGGAGAAAGAGGCAAAATCCTTTAGAAATGTCATACTATTTTTTTCTATAGCATATATGGATTGAATTGCTTAGTCATCTTTTATGAAGCCCTGGGGCCCATCATCAGTAGGGCTATAAATTACTGGATTGGGGTTGCAGATCACTAGTCCAAATGATTTGGATTCCTGGACACTCTGGCCTTATTTTAGACTCAATTGTATGGATGTAAATCGGGTGATACACTGTTCCCTTTGGCAAAAGCAATAAAAGCAGCACAAGTTAAATCTGAGTTGTTACTTGCTTCTTGTGTTGCTCAGCCTGAGGGGCACCTGCAATTCTAGAGGTGATGGAAACCAAAATGGAAAGGGTTTGTTGACAATGTTTTTGGAAAAGAGTTATTGAACCTCCTGTGTGCCTATCCAAACGTGTCTTCGTTTTTCCCCTTCTGTATCTGTTTTCTTAAACCTAGGCTGTGGGGAAGAGCATGTGAGCTCAGTGAATGTGAGATGCCTGGTGTCGATTTCAGTGTGGAGTGATGTGTGGTCAAATAACTTTAATAACTGTTGGATACCATAACAAATTCTTTGCCTGTAAAATTTTCGGTGTATTGCTCAAGCCAAGTTGCGAGGTGTCTTGGTGTATCTTGATAGCTAAGGATCCCCTGAATACAGGAAAATTCCTGGTAAATGTAGAGACTGTGTAACCAGCTCCTCTGTCATTCTTCCTGGTAGCCCTAATAGGATGGGAATGGTGGAGGTGAAGAAGACAGGCTTAGCAGGCCTTCATACTGCCAGAGCTTTTATTTTATCAAAGTTGAGAACTAAAGAGCCATGACTGGTTTCTTTCTCCTTCCTTCCCACTTGGCTCAGCCATAAACACGATGGAAGAAAACAGGCACCAGTTGTGGGTTCCTGAGCAGATCTCCTTGCCCTGGTGTAAGCCTTTGGCATGGGCTGATCGTGTAGGCTTATGAGGGAGACAATGCTTGAACCCAGACTCCTCTGAACTTGTAGTAAAGAGATCTGAGGGGAAATGGGACTTTGTTTCCTGGCTGCAGTTACATCTCTAGCTCACATTTACCAATACCCTGTTGTGTGCCAAGTTCAGAACTCATTGTTGCCTGCAGTGCTTCTTTCCGTGGGTACCCAAATGCTTGGCTGGGCTGTATGGCAGCTATTTGTTTTCCTAAGCAGTGGTAGGGGATTGCTTATCACTTGTCTTTCATGGACATGCGTAACCGATGCTTTGATACTCCTCAGGTCCTGTCTGATGTGTTCAACGCACCAGTGTACACTATCGATACCGCCAACTCTGCTTGTTTAGGAAGTGCTTACAGAGCAATTCACGGTAAGACTGTAAGGAGATACTTCTGAGTGGTCTGGGCATTTAATTTCAGTTGGTTAATACTTGGAATTAACATTACTGAAAATGAGGGGAAAATAAAGCTGTGTGGATCTGACTGGAAGGTCACTCAGGTCAAAGAGACTTTTTTGCTCTTAGTACGCTTGCATCAGGCCCTGGAATAACATTTACATTATAATTTAAGTCTGGTGGCTTCTTCTCAACCAAGAGATGGGGCCTGGAAACTGTTGATACTGTCAGGGGAAGGTCTAGGACCTTAATGTGTTGAGTTGCTACCTCCATGTGCTGCTCTTGAAAGAATACAGCCAACTGAAGGTGCTGGTATAGCTTGCTGCCTCGGTTTGTGGACCAGGCTGTAAACTGGATTGCTGAAATGGTCAAACCAAACAAAAGACCAATCCTAGCAAAGAAGATCAGAGAGAGCAGGGACAACTGGACCAGTAATACTGTTGGCTAAGTAAATGTTATTAAAGCTGTATGTATCTTCTAGCTTTTAAATGTCTGGATGAAGGCTATGCAAGGTGTTCTGGGCTCCATGCTCGAGTATGCACTTTCTCTGTAAAAGCATAAATCTTGGGATGCTCTTAGGTTGACCAGTCATTTTGCTTGTTGTACTACATCACTCACTGTAATCCAACAGTCAAGTCCCAGATTTAAAGTGTTAATTAACTTATATCTATTAATGCATGCAGGTGTATGTTAAGGATGGTTGTCCTGGGTTTGGCTGGGATAGAGTTAATTTTCTTTCTAGTAGCTGGTATAATGTTGTGTTTTAGATTTAGTATGAGAATAATGTTGCTAACACAATGATGTTTTCAGTTGTTGCTAATTGGTGTTTATAATAAGTCAAGGATTTTTCAGCTTCTCATGCCCAGCCAGCAAGAAGGCTGGAGGGGCACAAGAAGTTGGGAGGGGACACAGCCAGGGCAGCTGACCCAAACTGGCCAAAGGGGTATTCCATACCATGTGACGTCATGTCCAGTATATAAACTGGGGGGGTTGGCCAGGAGGGGTGGATTGCTGCCTGGGGACTGGCTGAGCATCGGTCAGTGGGTAGTGAGCAATTGCATTGTGCATCACTTGTCTTTCTTGGGTTATATTTCACTCTCTTTTTGTTATCTTTTTATATTATTATTATTATTAATTATTGAACTGTTCTTATCTCAACCCATGAGTTTTATATCTTTTCAGTTCTCCCCATCCCACTGGGGTGGAGGGGAGAAGTGAGTGAGCGGCTGCGTGGTGCTTAGTTGCTGGCTGGGGTTAAACCACTAGAGTGGGTCATCAGCCATTTAAGAGTTGAATCCCAGGCAGGAAATTTTATTCACGTATTTTACAACAGTTTCTAATATCTTACAAATCAAGGAATGTGTATCAAATTCTGAAGTCCTTATTTAGGCCAACTTTTGTTAGCCTCAGTGTTTCTGATTAGAAGCTTTAGGATTTGGACCTTAAGACATGGATAGCTTCTGTACAAGTTGATGTAAGATCATGGGACTGCAGCAAGCATGGAAAAGATAACATCAGCCATCAGAAGAAATCAGCCACGTTTTAATTTTAGAAGCCAATTCTGCTGTCACATTATAGCATCTGAAGACTACATGCTCTCCTGCATTTGAAAACAGCACAGAAAACTGTACAGCCAAAACTCGAGTCGATGTGTTTAATGCACACAGCGTGCTTTCCTCTTTATTTCCAGAAAAGACACAAGGGTTCTGTTAGGCAAAGTACGCTTTTGCAGGACAGTGGAAACAGTACTGTTAGATTATCAGTATGTTTGAAGCCACAATGGGTGGCTTTTTCCACCTTGGGGGCCAAGTTTCCAAACTGTTTTTCTCTGTACTCAAACTTTGCCTACTGCTTCAGAAGCTGGCAGAAGCTTCCCAGCACCTAATGCTGCAGGCAAATTCCTTGTCTGTGAATGCATGTGAAATGTGGAGCCGTCATTAAAGTTTGTGCAGATATTTTGTATGTATGGAAGATGTGTATTCCCTCTGCCAGTTTGGCATATGAAATCTTGAGGCTTGGTTGACAGAGCGTTTGAGTGAAGATTTCAGATGCCGTGCTGATGGAGGGACTCCTTAGCTCAGGTACTCTGCCAGCCAAGCCCCAGGGCCTTGCTGTGTGTGTTTCTGAACGGCATTTTTGATTGATGCTTTCAGCTGACTTACTCTTGGCCAGGCCAAGGAATTGAGTAAAAGTGAAGACTTGCTAATATAAGTGAAATATTGATGGCAAGGGCTCCTTAATAATACTACAAAGTACAATATTACGTCTGCAAGTACAGTTTTCTACAGTTAGCCTGGGATTCTTAGCAGGTGTACAAAGAGCTCCTGAAATGCTGCGATTCACTTGCAAAGCAAAATGGTGTAGTAGCAGAACTCCCCTGTTATTCTGGTTCCTTATATATAAATATATTTAATAATTTGTAGCATATTTTCTTGACAGTGTTTTCACTTCTCTTCCTTTTTTTGCTTAGTCACATTTTGTCCTTGAATCCCTTGCTTCCACATATTTTCACTGCTGTTTACTGTATTGTTGTAACCATAAAAAATTATTGATATCGTTGAGTAGCATTTCTGCTGCTCACCTATTCTCCAGGGTATGAATCGAGTGATTGGCAAAACCTCAATCACAGAGTCCCCACTTCCCAGGCTAGCGCGTAGGAATGTAAGATCTTCTGCCATTTATCCTTCAATCCTGAATGCTGACCTGACCAGGGAAGATCAATATAATGTATTAATTTGCTAGGGAGTCAAGGCACATCCCTCATTGTGCTTTTTGCATTGATCAGAATTGTGATTCTCATTGCAGGGCTTGTAGCCGAGATGAATGTGTCCTTGGCTGATGTTGTAAAATTAGCACCGGAGCCTAGATTGGCTGTTACACCAACCACTGGGGCTGAGGAGGTGAGCAAGCTTGGGAATACCATTTTTCTTTTCATTTCCTGTCTACTTCCAAATGTAGTGGTTTACTAATTTTTCTAGTAAAATAGATGAATCTAAGAAACATTTGGTTACACAATTCTTACTCCTTGTTGTAAAGATAGATGTGATTTGGGGAGATCTTTAGTGTTGTAATGATGCAATAATCTGGTCTCTCCATCCAGGACTGCGAGAGGGATTTTTCCTAACTGGATGTGATCAGAGAGCAAAATCTGTTCCTTAAGGGACAGAAAAAGTTATAAAATAGGTTGAATTTGGATACAGGTCAGTCAGGTTGCAACTGATAATATTGACAAAAAGGTCTTGACTTGTTTGCAGCAAGCAGCATGGGAAAAGGCGTGGTGATGGTGCTTTCTGGCCTCTTGGAAAACATCCCCCCAAATCCTTCCTGTCTGAGCTTAAACAGTGGTCAGCAATCGTGTATCTTCACTTGTAGCTCCTAGCTGGAAAGCGTGCCAGCTGAGAGGATTCAGTAGGCACAGGTCCTCGGTACCATGCCCATCCTGGGAAATTCAACGCATCTGAAGGCGAAGCTTGTGCTTTATGGGGCTGCACAGATAAAGCAAAAGAAATGGTCGTTGTTGCTAACTATGTTGTTCCAGCCCCTGTAAAACCAAGGAAGGAATTGTTGTCTTAGGCCATCCAGTGCAGCCCTGCACCTCTTCCTATCAGGTGCCAAAGGCCTTACTTTACAACAGCTTTTGAAATATAATGTCTAGTAATAAACAAGCAATACAATATGGCAAGATTCCTAGAGAACACAAGTTTAAATAAGCAAAGGTGAAGCTAACTCTGTCTTCAGCTGTGCAGAAGCTACTTTTACATCAACGCAGCCTTACACTCTCCATTTATGAGATTTGGATGTGCCCTAACTACAGGCAACAAGGTTTTAAAGCTTTTATTTAAACCGGGAAATTAATGATCTGCCAAAACTACTAACTCCCAGCTACATGTGTAGTGGAGCACTAGATATCATCATGAGTAATAATAGAAATGATCATGCTGCATTGTGCCTGCCAGCGTATTATTTAATTATTAACTGAGATGGAGGAGCTCAGTAATCGAACAGAAGTCCCCTTCAGAAATATTAAGACATTGAATAATTTAAACTTGATTGATCCGATCTCATTTACTCAACCTTCCCCCCTCATTTTAAAAGATAAAATAATTAACAGCAATGGCCTGTGTCATCTGTGTTGCAGCCGAAGCCTTCTGCAGGGAATACGCTTCAGGAGCAGATCCCCGGTGTCTGATTCAGCCTCACGTTGCTGCCCTGCTCCCCCCCAAAATGCTGTCTGCTGAAAAGCTGCCAGGCTGGCTTGCGTGGAGGTGCAGCGTGCTCAGAGACCTGCTTTTGACCCCCTGGTGCTGCTTCAGCTAGAACACTCAAGGGCAGGGGATACAGCTGTCACTCACGGGGGCCTTGCAAGAGCAGCAAGCACCTTGTACCCCTGCAGGGGCCAAGCTAACCTAACTGGAAAGATCGGTGGGGAATTCATTTACCTCTTTCTGTTTTACTGTCTGCATAAAATGGCCTGGAAGCTAAAAGAGTTAATTATCTCCCTCTCGATACTTTTCTTCTCCTTTTCCACTTGGTTAGACCTGGCTCTCATAGCACATCTTTTTATTGGTTTTAAATGATGTACAGCAGTGAATTATTGCCCCAGTAGATAGGAGTGAATGATAGAGAAGGCAGTGGCCAAACAGCATGTGAAGGAATAACTGTTCCTGCACTTTAGCTTAGCTTGCCAGCTTCATTCCATTAAAAGCAGCTTCTTGCAATCACATATTCCACACCATTTTTTTTTCTTCCTGTCTTATAATTTTGCAGTTGATGGTGGATTCCCTGGCTAGTTTCATGGCTGTGAAACCGCAGAAAGCCAGAAGGCCTGTCAGTAATACAGCGTGTTAGCATGAACAGTGCAGTAAAAATTCATAATGTGATGAGTCAGTTTGATTCTGTTTTTTACAGAGCTGCATCTCCCTGTCCATCCAATTTCATTCTGTTGAGGTTAGAGCCTTTCACTTAAATGACAGTTCTTTTTATAAACTTCAAAGTCATCCCGAGGTTGAGTTCTGTCTTACTGAGGAGCTCTTCTGAAAGAGTCTGGCTAACCAATGTGAAATTCCCAGGACCACTTACCTACATTTTTTGGACGGCTACAGCTAAATCTTGGCAGGGTGGAGAAAAAACAGGTCATAACACAGCAATCTGCTCTGGTTTCATCCTTTCTTCCTGGTGTAGGTCAGAGACAACATGTGTTAGATCATTGGAGAGAGGAAAACCTCCTATTGACAGAGGTCAAGCACGACAGTTTGATGTAGCTTCCTCTTCATTGCCAAAGCTTATGCACGCAGTAGGGATTTCCAGGAACCAAAAATGCAAAAAGTGTTTCTTTGATTGCTGAGGGATTGTTTGTGGTAATGAATGTGATCTCAAAAAGGAAGGGCAGGGCACATGAAACAGCTCTTCTGGTTCAGTTAAACTGATAGGCAGGTAAGATAGAATAAAGTCACAAAAAGGGGAACACAGACCTTGTGATGGGTGATGAGTTGGTAGTTAGTGGAAACTGAAGTCCTGTAAGTTCCAACTTGTCTGGCAAAAATGTGCCTTTATCCTGTAGCAGACCGTCCTGCCTTGAAGAGACCATTTCAAAGAGGATAAATCCCTCTCTGTGGCTATGACCTTAAGTCTCTGAGTTGAACCTGATTTCACAGTATATTTGTAGGGTGTGGGGGCTCACTTGAGCTTGTTTCTAATTCTGTCGATACCCAAACACGACACCAAACGGGTCATAAAGTATTCTGGTGGTAACCACTGTGGTGATAGTCTTTGGTCACTTACTCAACCAGGCTAGCTGAAGTCAGTCACCTGTGGGTTAACCTGATGAATCCTTCTTCCTGTCTTCAGAATAGCAAAAATTAAAGAGTCATCTCACCTCTTCGGAGCCTCCTCTCCCTCCCCGAAGAGAAAGATTAATCAGAACCACTATGCATGACAGACATAACCAGGAGATTCTAGAGCAATAAATATATGTTAACAGAAAGAATCTATTATTCCAGCATCAGAATTCAGATCTATTTTAGTAATCTATTAAAACACAGATGGCTGGCTAGTTGGTTAATTAAGCAAAAAAGCATGAGAGAGAACATGATTATCTGGAGTTGATCACTTGTGTTTATACAAGCTGTATGCCTATGACGTAGTGTCAGATTTATATGTTGTCCTGTAGGGTTTTGTAGTGAGGAGGCGTAGTGCAGTTCACTACCTCTGGATGTGTAATTTTTGATTGCATTATTGACTCTACTGAGATGTATTAATCCTGCAAAAATTCAAGAAGGGAAAATGTAGACCTAACAGGTTTTCTTGACTTTAGTGAATTGCCTTGTAAGTAGGTGGATTTATAGAAGTGACCCTATTACCAAGGAAGTTTATAATGACCTATTTATTGATTTAAAATAATGATATTTTTCTTGAGTTAGATTTTGAAAGGGGGAGGTTGTTTTCTAGAATTGGTTTAGGTTGGTAATTTAGTGCAAAGTAGGTAATAATAATACAACCACAAAAATATAATAGGTATTGATGGGAGTTTGATTAAGGTGATTTGTGTAGCCAATAATTTTTTTTAACCTATTAAACTGATTAAGATAAGCTTGCAGAATGAATATCTGAAGTAAATAAAGTAACTGTTTGAGGTGTGCTTCCTTAGAGGAGTCTTCAGAGTATTTCAGGACGCTGTCATATTCTTTCTACTTTATGAGTATTCTTTTTGTGCTAAGAAAGGCGAACAACTGCTACGAATTAAAAATAAAACATCTGTAACTCTTGATTTCTTAAGCAAATCTCTTTGAATAATTTGAGTTTGGTTTAAAAAAAAAAAAGAACCTATCAAAAGTAGCAAGTGTTTGTGAGAGACTGATTAATTTTAACCTATTCAGGGTAGATTAAATGTACTTGGGTAAATGAAAATTAGATCATCAGCAGCATCATCTTTGTAATTGGTAAATTGTGAATTGCTCCAATCACTGGCTAACATAGCATTGCAGGAGATAGAAGGATCCACGTGGATTGTCACTTGTAGTAATAATTTGTAGCTGGTTTTGCTTTTAGGGGGCAGCAGGGACAATGCAAACGCTAAAAGCCCTGTTGACTTGGTACTATGGTGAGATACAGTATGAGAATGACATATTTGATTTGGACTAGAGAGCAAGGTAACATTTATTTGAATGCATTTTTCAGGGATGGCAAGTTAAGTTATTCTCTGTTATAATGCAATATTTATCATTAGCATTTTCTTAGTTATTTGTGGGACTGTCAGAGTATGGCCAAATTGTCCCAGGAGAGAAGTTTAGGGTTTGTAAATGAAGCCGTCAGAGTACTGCTGATGTTGTGGAGTAGGCTATAGAGATAAGCAGGAGAAAAGGCCATAATATAGCAAGGACAATTAAATTATGGACAATAATAAGGTTCATGTTGTGATACATGTAATTACTTTTGTTAAATATCATGGTTTGATATATTAGGTTTGAGGCTATGACAGAGAGGGAATTTATGTTCTTGAGTTTTTATGCATCATTGAGAGTTCTTTATTCCCTTTGGACCTCAATTATAAAAATAAATCTATATAATTGCCTCAGGAAAAAGGCTCCTGGAATCGCTTAGGAGGAGTTGCCTGAGGTTCTGCGGAGGCAGTTCAGTCGCAGCAGACGTGGAGAAGCATCTTTCACAGACACAACTGTGTGCGTGCTCAGGCCATGGTCTCGGTCGGTGCAGTTTGGCTTTTCTTCTCTGTACTTCATGGGAGCTGCGCTGCTTTGGCCCCAAACTTCAGCTGGTGTCAAGCTGGCATGTAAAATACCGTTTATGAAAAGTTTGTAGTACTGCTGCGCTTATCAGCCATGATGAACTGGTGGTATTACAGCCAAATTCCCTGAGGAAGAGGAATTTAAGACTTTGCCTTCACCCTCTGAACTGTGCTGCCTATTATCCCAAATGAACCGGAATAGAGTACAAGGAATATTCTTAATTTTTTGTTTGCATTTTTTTCAGATGGTCCATAATGCAACATTCATTTACACTAATGGCTGAGAAGCTTATTGAAAATGCCTGAATTTTCTCAATTAGCAAGCTAAGTGCTTAACGCCAATAAACAGGAAAAGAAACTATATCAGTAAATGCGGTTATTCATTTATTTTGACACATTTTAATTTAGAGTGATGTATTAACAATAATACTTCCCATCCTTCTAGTAAATGCACTGTTGTGTATTTTGTAAAAATACTGCTGGGTAAGGAATATGGAGCCTGCTTGCTCAGTGCCTGAGCTCACTTACCAATGCAGTGCTGTTGTGCTGAACCTTTGCTGAGGAGCACTTAGGGTTTATCGAATTTACAGAATAGCAAAGTAAGAAATAGCGAGGCTTGATTATAGATGCTTCAGTGAATAAAGGAGCTGTTTTTATTTGACATACTGATACTCCCAGTATAGCCATAGTTGCCTGCTCAATATTTTGTTTACTCTGATGTGCATATTTAGCAGAAATGGGAGCAATAATATTCTTTGGGAAAATGAAAAGAATATGTGTATGTACCTCACTGAGCCCCCAAGGCCCTGATGTAGTTAGTTAAAAATACCATGCTGAGTCATGTGGCATTTCATAATAGTGGTACATTTTATTTTCTAACCCCATAAATCTGCATAAATCTCCATGGATCCGAGTATTGCTGTCCTGTGGAGAAGAGGGGTTGGGGTACATACATGTTGAATGACTTGCCTGGGGTCACTGAAGAAGTCTGTTGCAAGAGGTAGGAGTGAGTAGGTTTCTCTGTTTTAATCAGTGAAAGACACTGTAAGCCTCAGTCACTGTGAGATGGGTTTAAAACTGTCCTGATGATGCCTTGGCTAGCGAACAGTGTCTCTTTCCATCTGCTGCAGATGCTCCTTCTCTTATTCCCCTTCATATACTTAATCTGTTGTAGAAATGTACTTTAACTTCTGTAAAATCTGGTTGGTAAAAGGGAGGGGTTGATCAAAACAGGCTCCTTCTACAAAATTTGTCCATTGAGTCACTCTCACCTGCCATCGTGGAAGGTGGGAGTGGGAATGAAGAGATAAATCCAGGTTTCACTGGTCAGGCTGAAACTATCATTCAGGAAGAGGGAAACACAGAAACCGGATATTTTGCCATCAGTTGAAACAAAACCAAAAGACACCAATTCTTTATTTCCTAGATGAGAAAACTATGTGATTTTTTTTTTCTTTTGTCTGAGAAAGTGTGACTGTTATGGACACCAAGGCTACTGCACAGCTGTACATAAAACTGTGCACAAACAACCCTGTCTCTTCCTATGGCCTCATAGTTTACACTTAAAGCATTTTCGTCCTGAATTTTTCATGCATATATATATACAGTTGTTGGCTGTGGATCTTACCTGGAAAAGGATAAAATGCATTTAAATGCTGGATCTCACTTATTGATGAGAGCAGTAATTCAGTTTGCTGGGTATGATTCATTATGACTCTGTAACCTCTCTGAACCTGGAGCCAGGAGCGAGACTGCCCTGATTATGAATAACATCAGTGCAGAGGGCTTGTAGACTAGACTGGCGGCCCGTAGGATTCATTGCAGCAGGGATATGACCTTATGGCATCCTCTTAAGGACTGCTCGAGCCTATACCAGACCCCACACTGGCTCTTGGCAGTCCCTTCTTTGTGCTTGAGCCAGCAAATGAGTGAAGCTGTCCTGGTATGGCTTGTCAAACTACTGATTTTATTAGTTGGACAGTTAAAACCAGAAAGAGGAGATAAGGAAGAAGGTGTATCTCCCAGATCTAGATGAAGTACAGTTTTGGGTTGGAGCCAGCAGTAGGGCTAGGCTCTATTCAGGGTTTCTGCTATGTAACCTGGTCACATACAGGCAGCTCATCTTCTCCGATATGTCCTGTGATGAATTTGAAGCAAAGGGAAAAAAAAAAAAGGTAATGAATGAAGCAAATCCCAGCATGGATCTTGCCCATATCCAAAAGCATAGGGTGTGTTTAAATCTGGGGTTTTGAATACATTTGAGTCTTGATTCTTCTTTTTACAGTTGTAACAATTCTGGATCTCAGAATTCCTGGAGAATTCTAGCTAGGGAAATACAAAAAGCCTGGGCTCAAGGAGTGAGAAACCTGGTCATGGAGCAGACTGTAGATGGGAAAAGTCGTGGCTGTGAAAGATGTGAAGGAGAGAAGCTGCTCAAATACATACAGGGATATGAGAGGGGTGGGAGAGGGAGTGTAAAGTGTATTTTAGAAGGCCCTGGTCAGCATATTGGCCAAGAAGGACCTTTCTGATGGTGGTGTTTGACTGTGCTAGAGGGTGGCGGTGTGCTTATTAGCAAGGCAGAGGAGGAGGGGACAGAGGCAGTGATCCATCCTGAGGTAGCGGAGGGAGGCAAGGACAGGAGTTCTGCCTGGGTGATTAGGACAGCTATTACCGAGGGGGCATGTCAGGCTGGGAGAGGTGACTTTAGCCGAGCTGCTTCCTCTGGAAGCGATGACTTCTGCTTATAGCAAGAACACAGCCACAATAAGAACAACCTGTTCATGTCATAAAATTAAGCTGTAAAGGAAACGGTAAAAAGGACTGCAACATTTGAAGAAGAAAGGCTCTGCAGCATTTTCTTGAGCAAATTGGCAAAAAAACCCCCCAAACCTTCAGGTACTTATGAAGATGCTGCATTTATCAGGTCTGAAGATGTTTTGTAACTGCAGTGTGTATAAAAATCTAATTTTTCAACCTAGACATACTTATTTCTTTTTCCTTTTTAGCTCTATCGTCCACTTCTGAAAAGATATGCTGCGCTTGAACAGAAGGTTATCTACAACCCAACCTCTTCTTGTCTTGCGAAATAGAAGCAAACAAAATTTATAAGTCGGCTGAAGAGTGGACTCCCAAGGAGAAGATCAGAAAAGATTTGCTCAGAATTTACTGGAGTTGTTTAAATCATTTTGTTCCTCTTTGTAGACAAATAATTTTTAAATGTCTGTGTTTGAGCGTGTTGGTGGAAAAAATTACACTGTGATTGAAAACCTGATTAAAAAAGCATCATATTGCTCTGTGTGTTTGTGACTTCAATTTTTCTTAGGTACTTTTCAGATTGTGCTTGCTGTTCTGGAATAGCTGGATGACAAAGTCAAGTCCCTTGTATATATGAATCGCTGTACCCATCTCTATCAGCTTTGATTCCATGTGTTTAGCATGCTGGCCTCTGCATACCTATCTAGCACAGTAACTTAATTCCACAACTTCTCCTGCTTAAATCTTTTGAGACTTATCTTTCTGTATATCTGTAACTTGTCGATGTTTATATCTTTGCCTACATGAAACCCAACAGAAAGCATAAGCACACTGACTTAATCCCATCTTTCTTTAATATGTGGAGATTTGTGGTGTGAAGGCTGATTAAAGTCTTTAAAGACTCCCTGGGATCCTCCAAGAAGGGGAATTCTTGTTACATGACACTATGGAAAGTCTGTTGTGTGATAAAACATGATATGGTTGGATTTTATAAATTGTGGAAAGCACAGAGGCCTTATGTGATACAGACACCATTGCACAATGTTTTACTTGACATCAGTTTTGTAAAAATGAAAATAAGGGAACAAATATGGGAAGTTTTACACTTTTCCTTTCTGTTTCAAAAAGCAGTCACTTCATCTGCACACCGGTTTGGGGTTATTCTGTTTCCCTTTCCTCCTTCAGCCATCATGGCTATGAAATTCTTTGTGTCATGCTGAGTGCGACTGCAGAAGTACGGCTCTGCTCCCAACAGGGCATGAAGGTCACTGTTGTTTTCCTACCACTGATATCCCATTTCTTTCTGGGGGATCTCGAGCAGGACTGGTGACTGTCTTGTTCTGTTGCTACTCTTTCACTTCAAATGTTTTAGTCCAGATTAAGTAACCTCTAGCTGAGAAAATCTTAAGAGAAAATACAAGCTAGGAGATCTTTCTGCAGAGATGTGTGGAAGTGGCAGAATTTGATTGAACATCCTAAATCACCCGGTGCAAGTGGGAGCGCTTTACTGCACCATTCTGCAGTGCAGGTATCTTTCCCATAGGATAGAATTTCTTCTGGGAATAAAGCAGACTTGTTTCATGAAAGCAACTGAAGCCTTTCTTCCCTTCTTGTAGAAGTTGTAATGTGCCTAGGGAATAAGCCAGGGAATTGTAGGGAGTAGAGGATCTCTTTATTGAGTGAGAGCTGGATTATGTCCCTGCTGGAGCTGGGTGACTCAAATTCGTATTCTTCACGTTACAGTGGCATAGGAGCACTCTCCCTGTCCCTGCAGCATCTCTGGGGTGAGGGTGGGAACCCATTGCCATGATTCCCCTCCAGAGTGGCAGGGGAATGGGCATGTTCCTCCTTTGCTTTCCCTTTTATATTTAAGTGCTTCATTTGTGAGTATGAACAGTGCCTTTTTTTGTTCACAACTGAATAATTATAACTTCTCTTGATATTAGCATGATTACTCAGGAAGGTCAAGAATTACATTTCCGAGTTTCTAAAGCAGGCTTCTTTTAAGCAATTGCTTTAAAAGGTGGCATTACAAATACACATCTATCTCTTTTATGTGCTTATTATTCTGGGTCCCAAGGTACAGTGCTAAAACGTATAATACTTCTCACAGGCCTCCACCGTCAGCAGTTGCTTTGTCATTGAGCAAGGCTGTAGAGAGGTACAGAAGGATTCATTAATGCAAGTTAAACAATGCCTACTAGTTTAAGCAGCATTACCATCATCATTAGCCTTTAGTTCTGCCTGGTTACTGGTTTGACAACAAGATTAACCACACAGGGAAGGGGTTCAGAGAGGTGTTTTAGCTTTGTGCAGTTTTGGTGACAATTTCTTGAGTAGCTCATTTGGCTTATCGGAGCGAGAAGACTGATGTCTCTTGTAGTTTTGTGGCTTTATTTACCTGTGAAATGGGAGACTCGGGGTCAATTTCTTACTCAGCTGAAGAAGGTTAAAGCTTATGTTTCCCAGCTCATAGCACATGTTAGAACATTTTTAGATAATATATTGGCTCCTAACAAAGGATTATGTGCTGCTAGTAGGATACCATCTGGATGGTTTAACTACTTTCTGGGCCTGAGCTCTTCTCTGGATAGGGAGAAGGAAACATTTCCTTCTCTGTTGGGCTGGGTTGGGGCTCTCTGGTATGTCCCCTGTTAGCATTAAAACACTGTTTCCTCAGGGTAGCTGATGCACTGTGTGCTTGCTGCAGGAGTCCCTGAGAAAAGACTCAGATGCAAGGCTCTGAAGGGCCAGGAGTTGAGCACCACTGAATTATAGTATTGCTGTGGTGATGGGTTTATTAGGGCTGGCCTCTGAGGAATGGTGTCTGGAGTGTAAGAATTTATAGACAAGCTCTTTTTTTTTCCAGCTCACCAAAGTTGCACATGTTCACTGACTAGTGTCAGATAGAATAAGACTCAATAAATCTCCCCCTTGAAAGGTCCTTTGAAGAAATGCTGCTGTAAGACTTCCACCACTCTTTGTCTTTCCAGGAATGCACATTAGCCTGCCAAGGAACCACAGGCTTCTTGCTCTCGCATGTGCATCCCTTTAAAAAAGTCCCCAGTGGTGGAAGGATCTGGCGCCCTTTCGTTTCCAAAAGCATGTGGGTTTTTGCCACCTTGTCTACCGTATGTTATTCTGGTTGTCTGGAGTAGAGAGGTTACTGACTTAATTAACATCTTAACTAACAGAAACCTAAAGGCAAGCCAATGTCTTCTACCTCAACTTATTTGATGGTGGTTGATTCCCTCCCTCCCTCCCCTGTAAGTGACCTTACCGTTCTTCAAGGTGAGCAACATGGCATCCCCATCTCGTCTAGACAAAAGGTTAGCTTCTGTGTTTGAAGACCTGCTGAGCTATTTCCAGTCTAGACTAATCTGCTGGAAAATTGATCTCATCTCCTGGAAACACCCTCCACCCTTGATTGCCGAAAGGAGGTTGTTCATCGCTGCCCAACCTGCAGCTGCTGCCCCACACAAGCAAAGCTGCTCTAGATTGGAGGTGGGTCATGGAGTTACATGGAAAAATCCAAGCAGCTTCCTTAGCTTGATGGCCCTGTGCCCTCACCAGTCAATCAGAGCTGCACTGGATTCACCCACAAGCTCTTCGTGTTCCATGACCCAAAGACAAACAGTTTTCTTTGCAGCCTGAAGTCTTTAAAGTCTTTTGTGATGCAGCTGGAAACAAACAGGGAAAGATGTTTGCTTTTTCTTAAGGGATCAGTCTGAGAGAGCTGGAGCACTGATTGAATAAGTAATGTACTGAAAAAAGTCTGTGCTCTGCCGGTCCTTTAATAAGTAATTGAGCTGAATACCGCTGTGTGCGATCCCAGTGGGACCTTTTTGTTTTTCAGCTTTCTTTTCCTTTGGAGTTGCAGCTACCACCACAGATCACAGAGCAGCGCAGTGAAGGATGTGTATCTAAAGCTACAAAAAGCCAAATCAGAACATTCAACAAATAATTTGTTTTATTTTTATTTCTATTACCTTGGTCCCCAGACTACTGTGTACAGGTTAGGGGCTGAGGGAAGGGAAGAGTAACATTTTAGAGAATTAAACTGTCTGCTGTTGGTGCTTGTCATGAATACGGGGCCAAATCATAACCCCTTCCCTAGCAGAAAGTTGCTAATTTGAATTTTATTTCTCTCTCAGCTGCTGATTTTTCATCTAACCTCTCGGATTTTGATTTTGGCGAGATCTCAACCCTCATGTTAAATTGGGTTGAAATTGGCAAACATAGGGGTAAGGATGATAAGCAGGTGGGTGGACAGTCACTCAGCTACCAGGGGACCACTATGCTGTGAGGGGCATTTCCTTAAGAAGCTTCGCTGAAGGTGACTGTAGTCCTGTTTCCATGTGGCTTGAAATTTTAGTAGTGTTTCACTCTTGTGCAAATTGGTACAAAATCATATCTGTACCAAAGGATTACTTCACGCTCGTTTTGTGCAGGTCAAAATTACAATGTGATGTGCCAGGCAAAAGAACTAGCGATGAATTTTTTTGGTAACCCACTTCTTTCTGAGCGTGTATCTGAGGTGTGAGTAGGACACCTTTGAGTGAGATATTCAGAGTAGTTACAGCCCCCTGCTCACCTTTTGTGCTTTGATTATAGCCTAGGTCAAGCCTCTTTGGATAACCAGTTCAAGTGGTTTAGCTTTCAGTCATCAAAGATTACATTACCAGAATGTAAGATATTTAGATTAATTTTTCCCCTAGAATCCCTTTTTCTTCTCCTGCAGCAGATACAACCTTTTCTTGTACATGGTTTGCCTTGTTAGCTGTTTCCACTTCTGCAGGATGCTAAGAACTTCTTTTACTTGACACTTCCCTGAATGAACTTGTCTCCTGCTGAAATCCAGCCCCAAGAGTCATTTTGCTTTACTTGTTCTTCTGCTCCTCTGTTGCTTTTTAAAGTTGGCTTTGATAAACAGAATGATGCTTCTGTGGTGATCCCAGACTTCTGAGAAAGTCTCGACCATTGTGGGAACTCATTCGTTCAGTGTTCTTGAAGCGCATACCCTGAGGGGTGAGGGTGAAGGAGCAGCTGTCACTGCTTATGGATACTGCTACGATCTCTGATTTCAGTCTTTCACTAAGTTGCCTCATCCATTGATGCGTCAGCCTGCCCATTAGAACGACTGGGGATATTATTAATTGCATACAACATTTCTTGCTCTCAAATCTTCAGATGACAGGTATTTGTGATATGTTCTTTGTTAAGATGCTGTGATTAGCTCTGCTTTTATTTAGTATATTGTGCCTTAGTACTCTGTAATGCATCCATCCAGTTGTCATTTCTCTTTTAGCATCTCATCAGCCAAACAGAAGTCTTTGGTCACTCAGGTGTAGGATTCATATGACCAGTGTAGATACCTGTGTCTGCTATCATACGGGCTCCTTTTATAATCAAAGGAGAGGACCACAAGGGAGAGGAGTTTCTGGCTGTTGTTCATCTTATCTTATGGCAGACGTCTACAGCAGATCAGGTGATTTGTCTCTTGAGTCAGCCATTTCTCCCTGCTG